ATAAAAATATAAATGTTAAAAAAGAGAAAAAAAAACCCCAACAAAACAACAACAGCAACCATTTTTAAAAAGTAGCTAAGAATATACGTGTAGTCTTCGGGAGCCTGCATATTTTCAACATCTTGTTTCAAGTAGTGAAGTGCTTGGATATCGAATTTGGCGTGTTTATGAGCTCTTTAAATTGTTCTGCAAAGCTTGAATTCAGGATAACTTGGAACTGTGCAATTTCGGAGAAAGTTTTACCCAAGTCTGAAAGTGCCTAGCTCTGGAGTGTAGCCTATGGATTTGGCTTTACTTTTGATCAACAGAGAACGACTATCGTTAGCCTAGTAATTCCTTTTGAGGACAACGAAGAGCTCGATTCTCTATGTTCCCAGATTTTTAATTTCGTCACTCGTTGATTGCCCAGAAATCCTATTTTCGTAAAATTCGTTACTTTGGTTACTTTCTTTACTTTCTTAACCTTTTTTACTTTCTTACTTTCGCCCCTTTTCCTGATTTTAGTTACTTTCGTTACTTTCGTTACTTTTCGCTACTTTCATTATTTGCGTTACTTTCGTTACTTTCATTACTTTCATTGTTTTTTGTTACTTTAATACCCATGAAACTCTATTTCTCTAACTTCTGTTCCTTTGGTTAAATTTCAATTTCAACGTTACTTTTTACATTTAGTAACTTTCGTTATTTCCGTTACTTCCTTTTTTGACATTACGTTAGTTACACTGCAATTTTTCACAGGGGCGTTACTTCCGTTAATCACTGACTGTTACCTCAGATACTAACTTTCTTGGAACGTTCCTTTTGTTTCGCGTCTATTTTTCAGGAACGTTACTTTCGTTAGTCGTCAACTGTTCTGAAGCTTTACTTTCGTTACACTTCACGTGATCAGGACAGTTGCCTAAATATTCTGGGTTTGTCGGTTTAACTGAAGTGCGCGGCCTGGGATCTGTAACGTCATACAATCATCATCGTCATGTCTTTGGAAACGACCAGTTCTACGACCAAGTACTCCGTCAAGTCGGTCAAGTTCGTCACTGACCGCAGAGAGTCGGAAACGGACGCTGATACCGAGGAAGATTTTTATTCAGTCGATGGTGACATAGATGATGAGGTGAGTATTATTACCGATCCCCCCCTCCCCCTCCCCCGTCCATCTCTCTTTCACCTCTCTCTCTCTCTCTCTCTCTCTCTCTCTCTCTCTCTCTCTCTCTCTCTCTCTCTCTCTCTCTCTCTCTCTCTCTCTCTCTCTCTCTCTCTCTCTCTCACTCTCACTCTCCCCCCCCCGCTCTCTCTCTGTCTCTCTTTCTCTCCTCCCCCCTTTCTCTTTTTCCAATACAAGTCCCTTCCTTTCTCAATGCACACACTTAAAATCAAAATGAAAAGAAGCATTCATGATCAGGCAAGCAAGAAAAGGTGTAAGCAAACGGATTGATAAAATGAATCAGCAATAAAGAAGGAAACAAACTAACATACAAATAAATAAATGGAACCAACAAAAAAACAACAACACAAAAACAAACGGACAGGCACCATAGAATTTCTTCCCCTATCTCTCTACAAAATGCGCCTTAAGTGCTTCCGTTTGTTTATGTGTTATGTTTCTGCTTCTATTTGGAGAAGAAGGTAAACATTAGATCCAGAAACCTGGATATGGTAGACAGCGGAAGCGAAACTGAGAAAAGTTCATTGTTTGGTTTATTGATCTATTTATGTGTTTGCTTGTTAGTCTTAAAGCAATTGGGATTCATTCAAACGAGAATAGAAGCAGAAACATAACACATAAACAAACATAATGCCTAGACTTGGGCCTGGCGCCTGAGAAAATTGTTCATGGTTGCTTTCAAGTTATAAGCGAGCTGATAAATAAATCAAAACACTCTTAAACAGACATCGTTTCTATTTATATAATGGACTGCGAAAGAATTCGAAACGGTATGGGTTTAACATCCATTTCAATAATGTGAGACTATTTTAAAATTAAGTCTCCTTCTCCAATAGATCTGGGCCAACTAGGTGGAGAGCTATACCCCCCCCCTCCCCCAAATTCAGGTTCAGAATTCCCCATGGGGGTTTCGAACGAGGGACATCAAATCTGTAGTTCCACAAGATGTCAGCTTAGCCAACGCGCGTCCACTTACAGATTTCGAAAGTCAAAGAGTTTTCTTTTTTTGCAGATTACGCATGATCATGTTTCCTAACCAGCATGCATTATGCATCGAGGTTTCTTTCTTTACTTCTGTTTTATCGACCAGAGCGTACGTGTTCGGTGAAATCTTGGCAGATTTATGTTGGAGACGTGTTCCTGTTTCTTCTCGTTTTCCCTAAATTGTTCGTGTTTTGTGGCACAGGGATACGTTTGTGTAGGCAACCGCCGAGTGCAAAAGCATTAAGAATTATGTATGCAGGGTGGAACAGAAGGAAGACTGTTTCCTTTCTTGACAAGGCTGTGAAAGAACAGTCAGACAGACAGACAGACTGACTGATTGACCGACCGTCCGACCGACCGACCGACCGACCGAC